ATGGTGCTACGAATGGCGAGACTCACTGACGATGCCGGCGAAACGTCTGGAAATGTACCACGTCCACGGTTCTACTCTGGAAATGATGATGCATACAATGGACTCCGGACTAGGTGTGTTCCTTTAAGTCTTCCTACCAATATGACCGAGTTGCGAAAACAAGGTCAAAGGTCAAGGTCTCGTTTCAAACAACTTCTATTCAACTAAAGGAAACTGCGACCACACAAAAGGCCACACCATCTTGGTCTTTATACCTTCGAATAAAAAGCCATTTCAATGTATCAAAAAACAAATTTTCAGCCTCTGGCTGTCGAAATCACGCAATGCTGGTATAATTAGTCTAGTAGTAATAAAGAGAGTATGTGCAATTCCGTTCATTTAGCGATTTTCACCTCTTAATCGGATGGGGTCGGACAAACAATTCAAAAGTTGAATTTTTTCAATAAGAATTTTATTACAAAAGGCAGTGCAATGCGATCTCGATCAACTCTGTGCGGATAACCAAAAACTAATGAAGTGATTCCATAAAGTGTAAAAGGCGGGCAACAATTTTATCCCTATGCTAATCAGATTCGTTTGGAGGAAAAGTGTTTAAAATAGTATCAAAGGCAAAAGTAAGTAGGAAATAATTAGATTCAGTTTAATTTCATTAGCCTCATCCACACCTTTCCAAATATCTATTGTAAATATGACTAGTGAAATATAGTTAATGTATATTAACAAAGAATAGGCGAGAGAATCTTAATGTATAAAATATATCACTTTTTGTGCTTCGAAGCAATGGCAAGTAGTGCCGAAGAACATTTTAGTCGAAACTAAGAGCAGCCCCAAAAACACAAAAGCCAAAACAGTAAAAAACCCTCTTTTTTAGTCTACAGGTTAAACTAAATGCTAAATTTTTTTAGCAAGATGCATTAATTAAATATGCATAGTCAAAAAGCATAAAATTATACGCGATAATAAAGTATAATTAAAAGGCATTCTTTAGGATAATTTACTAATCAAACTACGAGCAACTGGCAGTAAGTTCATAAACTATGGTAAATATTACATTAAAAACTATTTAGGCGAATTATTAGCATCATGCTGGGTTATTTAACTAATGAAGTAAATTGAACCACAATCATGTGCTATTTTCGTCACAATATTTTATTTGGTAGTCTTATATAATTACCTTTTAGATAACTGGTTAGTAAGCCATTTACAGAGGGAAAGGGGTCATAAAGTCAGAATGCTTTCATCTTTCCCTAAAATGTGAATACAAGAGGATACTGCCCTTTACATAACATAGCGAAATGTGGTTCTCCTAATTTTATTACATTGAGGATGCGAACGTTAAAATACGATGCAATAACTATGAAATTACATCTTAAAGCTACATTTTGTTAAACAAAAATCTTTAGATATACTGATATACTAGCCCCAAAGTCAACTCAGAGAGAAATGCATCAAATTATTCTAACACCCTGACAATGCACTGAATGTAAATGTGGTGCAGGAAAAGGCCTGGCCTTCCTAGAAATTCACATTTTCCCTGTGTCAATGTGGCATAGTGGGTAGCGTGTGGAGATTACACACTACACTGTCATGGTTCGACTCCCACTGAGGGTGTTGGAAACGTCTAGGTGAAGTTGAAACTGCAGTCCATCCTGAATGTGAACATATTTGGGAAAAACAAGGCTAGATGAAATTCAATGGAAACGTCAGCTCTATTTAGCGCCTTATGGGAAAATTCAACTACTGGACCTTCATAAAGTTGAACGAAATAGAGTAA